ACACAGGATTCCATGAAGGCCTGTGGGACAGCGTCTTGAGGTTTCTTCACACTGAGAGCAATGTCCCCTGGGAAAACACCTGAATGCAGCACTGGGATGCACTTCCTTGAACTAAGGTCCCTGCATCCATTCTTGGGGCATGTCAAATGAATGCAGAGCAGAGCAATACACCTCAGGGCTCAAGTGTCCCCCAGTCTCTGGCAGTGGCACGAGGAGGACAGGGAGACACTGTGGTTTCTGCTAATGCACTGCTTCTGCATGTGCAAGGGAAGGACTCCTGCATCTGAACACCCCTGTGTGGGTGAAGAGTGCATGAGACCAGCTCAGGTGTGGACACCTCACAGAGCCCTGGCATTTCTGTGTGTTACACCAGGAACAGCCCCCAACATCCCAGAGAGATTTCTCTCACCCACTTTGGACAGGTTCATTACAAATGCTCCCTCACGCTTCCTTGGCTTTCTGGCCTGTCCCTTTCATTACACACTATGAACAGAGGGTGCCTGCAGAGCATCTCAGCTGCACAGTCCGAAGGGATTCTGCAGGCATGAGTGACATCGCCCTCTAGAAGGCGGGATTTTTCACCTTTCACAAGGCACAGAGCACATCTTGGGAAGGTGAATGCACTCAGTGGCACGCACCCCTTCAAGTTTCATCTTTCTGAACTTCCTTCACAATGTCTTTAAGCAACTAACAAAGAAACAAATGTTCTTCCTTGTAGGTGTCCTACAAGGACAGAGGGGACAAGAAGGACCTAAAGCCTTCTGTGGAGAAATTACAATGGGAAAATCAGTCATCACTGATGGAGCTTCCCTTACTGCAAATGGGGAACGTCCCCCGCTCTTAGACAGATCTCTTCCTGCTCTCTCATGACCTGCCCTGTGACTGGGGTTGGGAACACCCTCATTATGCTGGGGTTGGAAGACTTGAACACTCGCTACATCTCCACCACTGTGCCCCAGCTGCTGCAGTACTATTAGCGCTGTTTTCTGCACCTTTTGCAGGTAATGGAGTTTTTCCTGCTGGTGGCCACTTCCTATGCTCTGTACTGGGCTGTATGCCACGCACTGCTCTCTTTGCAAGACCATTTATTTTGATAAGTGGCTGAAAAAACTATTCACATAATACATGAGAAAATGATCACTTACAAGGTGTACACCCTTGGTGCTGTTAATAAAAAATATGAAAAATTTTATGAGAATTCATAAAAATGTAGCAGTTCTGGAGAGGAAGACTTTTTCAGCTATTAGAAGGAGTTCTTTTCTGCAGACGTTTCAAGTTTGTCCAAAAATCTACAGTGAGGTCTTGCTTCAGTTATCCACACAGAGGTGGTCACTGCCTCCAGGATGCCCTGGGGCAGCTGAAGCACTCATGTGGGTAATGTGTCCCAGGACATATGGGAGTCCTTCTGGAGCAAGACCCTGTATGCAGGCAGAGGGGCTCAGGGGTGGTTGAGGGTATCATCTGCCTCCAGCACTGCTGGGGTGTCTGAGCAGGGACCTCTCCAGCACAGCAGCACATTGTGTCCCCTTGGATGCTGTCTCTGAGGTCACTTCTGACTGGCCAGCAGTGGGCAGAGAGGTACTTAGAGGTCTGAAAAGCCATTACAATACAGCCCCCAATAATATGAAACATCTGGGGAGGTCAGGGGTAGCTGGGACAAGGGAGGTGTAAGATCCAGGGGAGGGAATAGGGGCTTGACACAAATAAATGAAAGATTTTTAAGGGGAAAGACCTGTTCAGGTAATTTTGGTGCCACTGTGACCCTGTAAAAACATTAGTGTTAGAATTTATTTTTAAACAGCAGCCTTAAGTCCTAAGCCTACCCCTAAATACTACCTCTCACCCTGAATGGAATCCACCTCTCTAATCCCTCATCTCAATTTTTTTTCTCTAAACCAAAGTCCAAGCACATAACCCCTTACCCATACTCTTACCCTATAGATCACCCTAATCCCTTGCCCTTACCTCTAGCACTAAAATGTTGGCCTTAACCTTAATCCTCACCCCAGCCCTAAGCAAAACCCTAATGCACAAAGGTAGCCCATACCCTAAACCCCAAACAGACACCCTCACCAGAACATCAAACCTACACTGCAAAGCTTTGCCTAATCTCTAACCGTGAAAGGCGAGCTCTAATCCCTCAACTTTAACCTGAACAACAAACCCCCAAGTCCCTTCTTTCACATGCTCAAATCCCCTCACTTTCAACCCTTCCCTAACCCTAACTTAAGCACTTTGGCCCCTTGGAATGGATGGGGGATTGTGAGGTCACACAACAGTCATATGACGTTGGAAGAGGAATGTGAGGTTACATGCATCTGATCAGCTCATAGCACACAAAGAGGAGATATTTGGGAATGCTATGGTGAGGTCAGTTGTGCCTCAGGATCTCATGGGAGATGTACCTCATCAGGAGGTACAAGGCTGTGAAAGTGGCACTGATGTCTCTTCTGTCTCTAGAATTAAGAGGCCAGCAGCAGGAACATGGCTGGGGAAGGGCTGTGAGGCCACTTCATTCTGCAGTAGCTGATAGGTCAGCCCTGCATGGCTGGGATACGTGCTTTTAGGCTCCCATCTGCCAGTGTCTCTGACATGCCAGCAGAAGGCACGTGGTTGGCAAGTTGATTGTGGGAATCCCTTTCCTGAAGTACTTGGTAGGCCCATCCAGGAAAAGGGCTTGGATATGGATTCTCATGTCCTTTCCTGGGACAGCAGCACACACACGATTTGGCTGTGTTTATCCAAGAAGCTGAAAGGCCAGCAGCAAGCATGTGGCTTGGAAGATCACAGTGAAGTTACCTCTGTCTGGTCAGCTGGTGCAGCAAGTCTTGCAGGTCCTCTCTGTTGAAGGGTTATCCCGTTTTGTTCCTGTGATCACTTTCTGTGTTTTCTTAGAAGGAAAAATAAAATTCATCATTTCTACTGCCCCCAAAAGAGGCTGTTCACCTGGGAATTGTTTGTGGCAGTTTTTGATACAGGGAAGGACGTGCAGTTGGCCTAATCACCGGTACCAGGTAGGAGCTTCCTGCAGACTTCGCATTAGAATCAAGTTTATCCTGCAGCCTGGGGATACACTCCGCACAACGCAGCCTGAAGGCCAAGGTGTACGTGGAGCACAGCACAGGCCTGGGACTACTCAGATTTACTATGACATGGCTCACTAAGTCCTTGATGGACAATGGTCTTCGGGTGAGGATCCCTGCAGTGCCTGAGGAAGGTTGGGAGGAGGATGAGGTGACCTCTAGAGAGATGGAGGAAGGGACACCATTTTAGGCCCTGTTAATCTCTGGGGATTTTGGAGACCATGGACCTCTGCTAGAAAGCCTTGTTTAGAGGGAAGGTGGAAGGTAGTCACTCAGCTGACATGGCGGGAGGCTCTCCTGGACAAGTTTTTCACAAGCAGGTAAGTCAGGACTGGTGGAAGATGTGGAGGGCAGCTTTGGCTGCATGTGAGTGAGGTGGTAGCGTATAAAATGCTGAGGGAAGTCAGCAAGACAGATTGTAGCAGGGCTGAGTAGAGAGGAAGAACACCTCCATCAAGCCTTTGGCAGTGCTCTTCCTGACGCAGCCCAGGATACCATTGTCTGCCTGGGCTGCAAAGGCGCAAAGCTGGCAGAACATGAAGGCTTTGGGGAGACCTAATTCCAGCCTTCCCAGATCTTCTTGGCTACCAGAAAGAAAATGGAGCCAGCCAAATCACTGTTGTGCGTGATGGGAGGAGGAGGGCCAATGGGCATCAGCTGAAACAAGGGAGGAAAATCTTTCTTCCCATCAAAGGCACTCCAGCACTGAAGGAGAGTTCCCAGAGAGCTTGTGTCATGTCAATCCTTGCAGCTCTCCAAACCTCAAATGAATAGACCCTGAGCAACCCGCTCTGAGCCCATAGCTGACCCTGCTGAGAGGTTGGCCTGGAGATCTCTTAAGGTCCCTTCTGTCATGAACGAGTCTGTCATTCTATCCACAACAGCTCTTTCCTTTATGATGGGAGGGAAAGCCCTCAGGTTCCCAGTGACCACTGAAGTCAGACTGAAAGAGGTTTGCTCAGACGATCTTTCATGGTTTTCGTGGCTTTCTCGTCCCACTCCAGGCATTGTTGCTCAGATGTGTGGCTGCTTGGCAGGTACCCCTGAAGGAGCCTGATTATTTCCTTTGCTTCACCTTTTCTTTCCTTTTTCCCTCTTGTCCCACTCACAGTTTCTTACCCTTGACCATCCTGGTAGGATGGGGGTGGAGGACAAGGGATGATGCACTCAGAGCAAAAACCACACAATTCTGCCTGAAACCAGGAAGACAGTTTTTGACTGTGAGGATGGTCAAACACTGGAACAGGTTGCCCAAAAAGACTGTGGTATCTCCATCCATGGAGGTATTCCAAACCCACCTAGACAACATCCTGAGCAACCTGTTCCAGATGGCCCTGCCTCATCTGGGGGCTTGGACTAGATGATGTCCAGAGGTCCCCTACAACATTTTTGTGATTCTGTGAATATAAAGAATAAAAGTAAGACAGGAAGAAATGGACAACAGATAGCATTGAGTACAAATGTGGTAGGATACGATGGAGAGGACCCAAGCTGGAGCAGAGGAGAAGTGTTAGGAGGAAGGAGCAGCAGAGATGTTCTTTACTGACTGTTAGCCCCCCCTTCACGATCCCCCCTGCTCTTCTTGGGGTTGGGGTGGGTAGGTGAATTGGGAACCACGGAGTAATTTGAGCCTTGGAGAAACTGTGAGGTGAATGGTCTTTAAGATATTTTTGCCATTGTTTCTCACAATCCAAATCCTTTTATAATTGGCAAAAAAAAATTAATTTGATCTTCCCTAAGTCAATGGGACTTTACCCATGACAGTAGTTGGTGCAGGATCTCCTTTACTTTATCTTGACCCATGAACTATTCCATCTTATTTTCTCCCTTTAACCAGTTATGTCAGGGGGGTGAGTGACTGAGCAGCTGTGTGGGTGTCTGGCTGCTGGCCAAGACTAAGCCACTACAGAACCACCACATCAGGACTGCTGTATGGGGCTTCCTATCATAAGAAAGACCCTGATAGGCTGGAGTGGGTCCTGCAGAGACCAGAGGGATGGTTATGGCCTTGAACACTTTATGAATAAGGAGAGGCTGAGACATTTGAGTTCTTGAGAAATCCCTCAGAGTCAAAGACAGGAGCAAAAACCCAGGCCACCTGGTGGGATCTCAATCAATGGAGATTTTGAACATTTTTTGAGAGAAGGCCAAGAGCACCCGATTTCCTTGGAGCTGTCTGAGAGTGGGCTTGGCTGAGACCAGTTGTGGCAAGAGCAATTGTAGAATCATAGCATCGTTTAGGTTGAAAAAGACCCTTAAGATCATCAAGTCCAGCCATTAACCTAACACCACCAACTACACCTCTAAAACATTTCCCTAATTATCTTTTATATACCTCCAGGGGTGTGTCATCAGTGTCAGTAGGAAACTGGTTTCCTTTTTATTAATACTGGCAGTGGAGTTGGGTGTCACTGAGCCCCAGAGGAGAATGAGCCTGTCCATGCAGCAAAGTGCCCTCCTCAGAGCTGGGGTGTTTGACCAGAGAGGGAAATGGCCAGTGTGTGGGACTGGTCTGGGACAATTTTGCTGTGACAATTTCCCCAGGAGGTCGAGGGAACATGGCAGAGACCGGGCCCCTTTCTATTGCACCTTGGCGCCTTGCTCTGTACCATGAGAACCTCAGTTCTTGCTGCCCCCTGCACACACAGCTTAGATCTACACTGACCTTTTTCTTGGGCGGGCTCCTCCCAGCCAAGCCCAGCTCCTCCCCCAAATCTCCCACCTCCACTGTCCTCTTCTCAGCTCAGCAACTCTCCAGCTGTCCCCAACTCCCCTGCCTACTCTGCAGCCCAGGCCACCAGAGCAGGCCAGTCTGGGCTGGTCCCATGGCAGTGCCCAGCACAGGGTGCTGCAGAGCTCTGGGCACTCACCCCACAGCCACAGCCCCTCTGAAGGGCACAGCAGCTGCTGGGGGGCAGAGAGGGATGGTCAGGTTCCCCATCAGACCCAGCAATGGTGCTTTCTCAAGGGCATGAGCAAAGAGAGGCTACTCACTCTCTGCCTCTCCTGATTTCATATTGTAGGTAATGCACAATATGGACTGAATATGCCCCCTCTTCTGCTGCCTCCAGCCCCACTCCCTATGACAGCACAAAAGTCCTGGCCCTGGGCATCCTCAGGCAGTTCCTGCATCTCTCCAGTCTCCCCTCCCTGTGCCTGCTGGGTCCCCACTGACTCTCAGAGTCCTTGTTCATGGAGACATCGATTTAGTGCTTTGCTTTTGGGGGTCTTCACTTTTGAGTGTATTTAACCTTCTGAGTCTCAGTTCATTCAAACCCCAGGGCACACGGTATATGCCATCTTTCCTGTCATACATGAAGAAACCTGAGGAGATAGTAGAAGCTCATGGACCATTTCCCCTCCCATTGGACACCAGGAAGAGAACTCCAGAACATTTGGTCCCAAGGAACCCAACAGTACCATAAGCTTAACCCCTAGAAGACTGAGAACACAAGGAGAACAGACTCTTTAGAAGACCAATTCCTTGGGCATTTTCCTGGAAGCAACTTTGGAGGAAGAGCCCAGCCGTCAGGCACTGCACCTGTGAGATTCCCTTTTATTGAAGATCTTCTATGGGGCATGCTACACTTGACCGAGTGTTGTGCAAGAGTGAGACACAACAGGATCAATCCTCAAGACAAGTAGTATAAACCCAGCAAATTATCTATAAACAGGATTATCACAAGAGAAAAAATAAGACTCATGGCCTAAGATAAAAACTGGTAAATGTGAGGATAAGAGGAGGCAAATTATTGTCGCTGAGACAGCATCCATTGTGCCAGTTTCCATAGGGTCTCCTTGAGCTCTTGGTTCCTCATACTGTAGATGAGAGGGTTCACTGCTGGAGGCACCACTGAGTACAGAAGTGACACCACTAGGTCTTGAAATCGGGAGGAAATGGAGGGGGGCTTCAGGTAGGCCAACATGCCAGTGCTGACAAATAGGGAGACCACGGCCAGGTGAGGGAGGCATGTGGAAAAGGCTTTGTGCCGTCCCTGCTCAGAGGGGATCCTCAGCACGGCCCTGAAGATCTGCACATAGGACAGCACAATGAAGATGAAACACCCAAAGACCACAAATACACTAAACACTACAAGCCCGAACTCCTCGAGATAAGCGTCTGGGTAGGAGAGCTTGAGGATCTGGGGGACTTCACAGAAGAACTGGTCCACAGCATTGCCTTGGCAGAGAGGGAGTGAAAATGTATTGGCCGTGTGCAGCAAAGCAGTAAGGAACCCACTGCCCCAGGCAGCTGCTGCCATGTGGACACAAGCTCTGCTGCTCAGGAGGGTCCCGTAGTGAAGGGGTTTGCAGATGGCCACGTAGCGGTCATAGGCCATGACGGTGAGAAGAGAAAACTCTGCAGTGATCAAGAACAGAAAGAAAAAGAGCTGTGCAGCACATCCCCAGTAGGAAATGGCCCTGGTGTCCCAGAGGGAATTGGCCATTGATTTGGGCACAGTGGTAGAGATGGAGCCAAGGTCGATGAGGGAGAGGTTGAGGAGGAAGAAGTACATAGGGGTGCGGAGGCGATGGTCACAGGCTACAGCAGTGATGATGAGGGCATTACTCAGGAGGGCAGCCAGGTAGATGCCCAGGAAGAGCCAAAAGTGCAAGAGCTGCAGCTCCCGTGAGTCTGCGAATGCCAGGAGGAGGAACTGGGTGATGGAGCTGCCGTTGGACATTTGCTCACTCGTGTGATGGGCACCTGTCCAAGGAGGAAAAGACAGTAAGTTAGCAGAGACTTCGCTAAGGAAAATCAAAGCCATTTCCCATATACTCTGCCCCTGCTTCACACACCCCCTTTTCATTTTCCAGGAGTCCTTCCTCAGCTCCAAGGCTGGAGCTCTCGTTGGTATTGGCTGGATGTGTTGTGAGCAGCAGGGTCCCTGTGTGCTGTCTGCTGAGGAGCCAGCCCTGCTCTGCAGCAGTGAGCTCATGGGAGCACTGGGGGCAGGGGCCAGTTCTGGTGTTTGACTTTGTCAGATGAAACCACTTTCTGATGTAGAAAGGCCTGTCAGCGTCTGGACTCCCAGTGCTAGAGGAAGTGGGGTAGCAGAAGGCAGTTTAAGAGGTTTAGGGATTTTTACAGCTCCACCCATTCCCCTGGAGGATGTTTGTGGATGACAGAAACCCTCAGCATTTTTGCTGCACTCAAGGAGAACAGAGTGCTGCAAGGCAAGAGCATTGTCTGTGGCTCAGTGCAGAGTGAGAGGAGCTGGTTTGTCCCTCCGTCTTGTTCCCAGCTGCCTGAGGTTTGAAGCTGAACGACGCGGAGGGCAATCACACCCATGTAATATCATGCAACCAGACACTGCTGAGAGCAGAGGGATCCAGTGCAGACCACTAAATGTCTCACCCTTTCTCAGATTCTTCTAGCCCAGGGCACTCATGGCTCATTTTACCAACCCCACAGCATTTCGTCAGCCAGTCTCTGCGTTTCTCTGTGGGGCTTTCAGACAACACAAAGTGCTATGGGACAGGTTTGAATGCAGGAAGGCAGCTCACAACTTGGAAGGACACCCTAAGGAGACAGCCAATTGCCCTAATGTTGGCATCCCATTAAGAGAAAATGGACTCAATCCCCAGCCCCACAGACTGCATTGCCCACAGCCCCACAGATGAGAGGAAAGCTGGGACACTTGTTCCCATCTGCATGACCACATGTATGGATGAACAAGATCAGTGTGTGGCTGCAGCTGAAATTTCCATCCCCAGGGAGTCTGACAGCAAGAAAAAGATAACTTTGAAATGGGTATGTGGAGAAACAAGGAAAAATACAGTGAGGGTCTGGGTGAGGAAGGCCAGGGGAGAGGCACTTGGGCACTTAGGACAGTGTTACCCTTCCCCATCTCTGCATGCCACCTCCCAGACAGTGATAATGCCGGACAGTTGCCCTCAGCTCCCATTGCTGGTCAGTGAGAAATGGACACATGGCTGGAGGGATGCCCTTCACCTCTTCTGCTGCTCTGATGGACAGAGAGGGGACTCCCACTCTGGACACCATGACTGTGAGGGCCGAGGGCTGTGCTGGGTGGGAGGGAGAGGTGAAGGGGGTTGCTCAGGGAAGGCGTTTGCACTGCAGGGGTGGCCGGGAGGTGCCCATATCTGCCCTGCCACAGGGCTTCCATTAGCAGTTCCTTCCTTTCCTGCCCATCTCCACTGCCTGGAGCTGTCCCTGCCAGGAGCTGTTGCTCTGGCCCCACGTCTCCTCCCTGTCATAGCTCACAGACCCCTTCTCAGCCCCTGTGCACCCTGCCTGTGTGCAAGGACTAAAGACCAGGTCCCACAAACCATGATGAGACTGGAAAGGGGATGTTGGTGCTATCTGTAGCCCACAGAGCTGGCAACTGAAAACACCAACTCAAGAAAGCTCCTTATCCATACGGTCATCCCTCCTTTGACCTTGGAATTGAAAAATCCCCTTGGAACTGTCCCACTGCCCACCCAGCCAACCAAGATGAGAAACCTCAGAAAACAGACACCTTCCATTAAGGGAACTCCAGTTTGAGATGTTCCCTCAGAAATGCCTGGGGCTGAAACAGAGCTGTGAGCAAACCTGACCCACGCAGCACCCTCTCGACAGCAGAAAGACCCAGCCCTTCCAGAGGTCAGTCCTTCCACCAACAGCTTCTCCCCACAGAACCCTGGGGAGCTCCCTGGGCAGGCTGAGTGCTGACCCTGGCAGGTGGAAGAGTCCCTGCCCCAGCGAACAGCCCCCTGGGGTGCAAGGCCAGCCCTGGGCACCCCTGCTTGCCCACCCACCTTCACAGCCCTTTGGCCATTCCTGGAAGAAGGCAGCTGTCATGCCGTCTGCCTCTGACAGTGCAGCAGGGAAGCCCTGCTTTGGAGCATGTTCTCCTTCTACACACCACAGAAGTTGTGAGAGTCGTGCTGAATGATCCCATAGGCTGTGGGATGTGCCAGCTTTTGGCAATCTCTTCAGGAGCTGCAGCTGCATTGCCTTGCTGCCAGAGATCTGCCATGTCAAGAGCTGTGAAAAGTTCTCCCCCTGTTAACTCCCAGCATCCTCCCACCCCAGACTGCCTCTAACCCCTCTCTGCCTTACTCCTCTCCCCTCGCTGCCTGCAGGCAGTGCCCTCAGCCCTGCTGCGCTTTGCAGAGGAGCTGCTCCTGGGCAGAGCTGGCTCTCTGCAGCGCTGCCCACTTCCCATGAGCTCCCTCCATCCCAGGAGCCCAGCCCAGCTCAGCAGCAGGGCACCAGCCCAAGGCAGCACTTGCTCTGCCTCCTTCCCCCACCCCATCGCCCCAGATCCCTCGGGGTGTCCCTGTGTCTTCAGGGCTGACAGCTCCTGAAAGGCAGCAGGGTCTCTCCTGAGGAACACAATCTGAAGCAGACTGAAGTCATCACTGACTGTGCCTCTCTAATCACTGGGCAGGCTGATTCCTGCAGTGCGAATTGCTCTGCAGGAGGTGTCAATGTTCCCTTCTGGAAACCCCCATTCCTGTGCCATTGTCAGGCAGAGCATGCAGGCAGTGACAGGCAGGGGA